TTCCTGTGCCATCACCAATCGCATGAAGATAAGCACTGTTTCCCGATGCTTCAGAAAATATCATGTACAGGGCCAGTGGTTCCAGCGTTCTGAGATGCTTGGGAAGAGCAAATGGGTATATGAAGTCTTATTTACTAAACTATATCCTAATTTAATAATGTAGTATTATGTGTATTTATACCCCACCTTCACTTTGGCAGAAAAAATGAAATGCAAAGATACAGAATGGGTGACGCCTGGCTCGAGAGCAGTACGTGTGAAAAAGATCTTGGAGTCCTCGTGGACAACAAGTTAAACATGAGCCAACAATGTGATGTGGCGGCAAAAAAAGCCAATGGGATTTTGGCCTGCATCAAGAGGAGCATAGTGTCTAGATCTAGGGAAGTCATGCTCCCCATGCTCTTGGTAGACCACACCTGGAATATTGTGTCCAATTCTGGGCACCACAATTGAAGAGAGATATTGACAAGCTGGAATGTATCCAGAGAAGGGCGACTAAAATGATCAAGGTCTGGAGAACAAGCCCTATGAGGAGCGGCTTAAGGAGCTGGGCATGTTTAGCCTGAAGAAGAGAAGGCTGAGAGGAGACATGATATAAGTATGTGAGAGGAAAAATGATCAAGGGACTGGAGAAAAAGCCCTATGAGGAGCAGCTTAAAGAGCTGGGCATGTTTAGCCTGAAGAAGAGAAGGCTGAGAGGAGACATGATAGCCATGTATAAATATGTGAGAGGAAGTCATAGGGAGGAGGGAGCAAGCTTGTTTTCTGCTGCCCTGGAGACTAGGACGCAGAACAATGGCTTCAAACTACAAGAAAGGAGATTCCATCTGAACATTAGGAAGAACTTCCTGACTGTGAGAGCCGTTCAGCAGCGGAACTCTCTGCCCCGGAGTGTGGTGGAGGCTCCTTCTTTGGAAGCTTTTAAGCAAAGGCTGGATGGCCATCTGTTGGGAGTGCTTTGAATGCAAATTTCCTGCTTTTTGGCAGGGGATTGACTGGATGGCCCATGAGGTCTCTTCCAACTCTATGATTCTATGACTTCTCATGTCAGAAACTAATTAAGAATACAGTTATCATGCAAACAGAAACCACAAAAAAGCTAAAATCTTGGCATTATACTAAATGTCTTTTGACCGCTAGTGCCTTCAGTGTGGCTATGAGAAGGTCCTCCATTGTGCATGCAGCAGACTGCATTGTAGTAAGTGGAATGTAGTTTGCTCTTCTCCGGACTCGCATGTCGTGGACTCCACTTTGTGGCCCCATTTCTTTAGGTTGGCTCGGCATTTCATGGTGCCAGAACGCTGTCTGTTCAGTGCCTTCTAAGTGTACCCAGGAGGGAGTTTCTCATCTGGTCTCAGCCACAGATTGAGGTTCTGGGTTTTAGCCTGCCATTTTTGGACTCTCGCTTGCTGAGGTGTTCCTACAAGTACCTCTATAGCTCTTATGAAGCTATTTCTTGATTTAAGGTGTTGGCTTGCTGGCTGATATCCAAACAGAGGATGGGCCAGAGATGTCACTCTCTTGGGCCTTTCATTACTGGCTGCTACTTCCTGGTGGATGTCAGGTGGTGCAATACTGGTTAAACAATATAATTTCTCCAGCAGTGTAGGCCGTAGACTCCTGTGATAATGTGGCATGTCTCATTAAGAGCCACATCCACTGTTTTAATGTAATGAGATGTATTCCACACTGGACATGCATATTCAGCAGCAGAGTAGCAAAACACAAGGGCAGATGTCTTCACTGTGTCTGGTTGTGATCCCCAGGTCGTGCCAGTCAGCTTTTGTATGATGTTGTTTCTAGCACCCACTTTTTGCTTGATATTCAGTCAGTGCTTCTTGTAAGTCAGAGAATGGTCCAGAGTGACTCCCAGGTATTTGGGTGTGCTTCAATACTCCAATGGGATTCCTTTCCAGGTATTCCTCAGAGCTTGAGATGCTTGTCTGTTCTTAAGGTGAAAAGCACATGTCTGGATTAGGAATCAGCTGGTTTTCCCTGTAATAGGCAGCAAGAGCACCTACAGCTTTGGAGAACTTCTGTTCAACCATCTCAAAGCTCCCTGCTTGGGCGGTGATGACACAATCATCAGCATAGATGAAACTCTCTGTCCCTTCTGACAGTGGCTGATCATTTGTGTAAAGGTTAAACATTGATGCAGAAAGCACGCTCCCCTGAGGCAGGCAGTTCTTCTCTGGCCCAGCGAGTATGATCAAGGCTAATGAATAATCAATGTATTCAGCCTGAGGACGTGGATGAGATCTTGGGAGGAATGAGAGCGGCCACTTGTTCTCTGGACTCATTACATTGTCCGGGGGGGGGGGGGGGGGGGGCTGGAAGAGTGGGTGAAGGTAATGCTACGAATCCTCAATATGCCCAAATGTGAACACTGGTGGAGTTTATGGAAAATAGACTTGAATACTGGTGGAGTTGATGGAGGGGGAAAATATTGATTTTACCATTTGGGAGTTGTAGTTACTGGGATTTATAGTTCACCTACAATCAAAGAGCATTCTGAACTCCACCGACGATGGGATTGAACCAAACTTGGCACACAGAACTCCCATGACCAACAAAAAATACTGGAAGTATTTGGTGGGCATTGATCTTGAATTTTGGAGTTGTAGTTCACCTACATCCAGAGAGCACTGTGAATGCAAACAATGATGGATCTGGCCCAAACTTGGCACGAATACTCAATGTGCCCAAAAGTGGTGATGTTTGGGGAAAATAAACCTTGTCATTTGGGAGTTGTGGTTGCTGGGATTTATAGTTCACCTACAATCAAAGAGCATTCTGAACCCCATCAATGATAGAACTGGGCCAAACCTCCCACACAGAACCCCCATGACCCACAGAAAATCTTCGGTGACCACTCTGACACTCCCTGTGTGAGTCCACAGGGCTCCCTGGATGTAGGTGAACTACAACTTCCAAACTCAAGGTCAATGCCCACCAAGCCCTTCCAGTATTTTCTGTTGGTCATGGGAGTCATGTGTGCCATGTTTGGTTCAATTCCATCGTTGGTGGAGTTCAGAATGCTCTTTGATTGTAGGTGAACTATAAATCCCAGCAACTACAACTCCCAAATGGCAAAATCAATACCGCCCCCCTGCATCCCACCAGTATTCAAATTTGGGCGTATCAGGTATTTGTGCTAAATTTGGTCCAGTGAATGAAAACACATCCTGCATATCAGATACTTACATTATGGTTAATAACAGTAGCAAAATTACAGATATGAAGTAATTTTATGGTTGGGGGGTCATCACAACATGAGAAACTGTATTAAGGGGTCACGGCATTAGGAAGGTATAAACATCCATAATTCTATAAGACATACATATTACAATGTATTTCTTTCTTTTTTTCATCCATCATAAAAATGTAATTTAGTCTGTGACAGTGAAACACCAGAAGCGATATCAGAGTTGGTTTAGAATACGATATATTTGAGCTTTCAAAGACCCACGTTGTTTGAAACTTTTCCCCCTTCTGATCAGGTCATTGGGGTGGCTGACCCCAGGGCTTCCGCCAGAAGGGAGCTCCAAGAGCTGCATCCCATGGACCCTTCCAATGTGTTTGACGGTAAACGTTCCATATTTTGATTTCTCTGTTCTTCTCCCCACTTTGCATTTTTCTCCCTTTTCCCTGCTTTATCCTCCCGACAACCCTGCAAGGTAGGCTGTGCTGTGGGTGCGTCTACACTGTCGAATGACAGAGTTATAATTTTGCAAAATCTTTTTCTCTCTTTTATAAGACTGGAGACCTGCGGCTGAGAGGGAGAGGTTTGCGGATGCCGTTCTCATTGCAACTCCTGACCGGCTCCATAAGGTACTGTATATACTCGAGTATAAGCCTAGTTTCTCAGCACCTTTTTTAGGCTGAAAAAGTTCCCCTCGGCTTATACTCGAGTCAAGGTTATTTATTATTTTACTCTGCTATTAGTATTATTTTTATTACATTTATTATTTAACTATTATTACTATTATTATCTTTACATTTATCATTCTACTCTATTATTATTATTACATTTATTATTTTACTCTATTATTACTGTTATTGTTATATTTCCATTATTTTACTCTATTATTATTATTATTATTATTATTATTATTATTATTATTATTATTGCTATTATTACATTTTACTCTATTATTGTTATTATTACATTTATTACTTTATTATTATTACTATTATTATTAAATTTCCATTATTTACTCTATTATTATTTTTATTACCTGTTATTACATTTATTATTTTACTCTATTATTGTTATTATATTTATTACTTTATTATTATTATTACTATTATTACATTTTCATTATTTACTCTATTATTATTTTTATTACCTGTTATTACATTTATTATTTTACTCTATTATTGTTATTATATTTATTACTTTATTATTATTATTATTACTATTATTACATTTTCATTATTTACTCTATTATTATTTTTATTACTTTACTCTATTATTGTTATTATATTTATTTATTATTATTATTACTATTATTACATTTTCATTATTTACTCTATTATTATTTTTATTACCTGTTATTACATTTATTATTTTACTCTATTATTGTTATTATATTTATTACTTTATTATTATTATTACTATTATTACATTTTCATTATTTACTCTATTATTATTTTTATTACCTGTTATTACATTTATTATTTTACTCTATTATTGTTATTATATTTATTACTTTATTATTATTATTATTACTATTATTACATTTTCATTATTTACTCTATTATTATTTTTATTACATGTTATTACATTTATTATTTTACTCTATTATTGTTATTATATTTATTACTTTATTATTATTACTATTATTACATTTTCATTATTTACTCTATTATTATTTTTATTACCTGTTATTACATTTATTATTTTACTCTATTATTTTTATTACATGTATTATTTTACTCTATTATTATTACATTTACATTATTTTACTGTATTATTATATTTATTGCATTTATTATTTTACTCTATTATTGTTATTATTTATTACTTTATTATTATTACTATTATTATTAAATTTCCATTATTTACTCTATTATTATTTTTATTACATGTTATTACATTTATTATTTTATTCTATCATTATAGGTAATAGGTAAGCACATTTACATTGAAGGAGGTTAGAATAATGGTTGAATCAGAGTTGGGCAGTCTTATCTTAAATTACAGTTTTGTGTAAATACTCAAAAACATTTAACCTACTGATGATTACCAGTAGCAGCTACATTTCTCACCCTCGGCTTATACTCGAGTCAATACATTTTTCCAGTTTTTTGTGGCAAAATTAGGTGCCTCGGCTTATATTGGGGTTGGCTTATACTCGAGTATATACGGTAAGTCCAGCATCTTCCAATGGATTTCAATTCCCAGCAATTCCTTCCTATTGCAGCCTAAGGGTTTGTCTACATTGTAGAATTGGCGCTTTTTGACACCAGTTGACATCAGTGGAGAAGACTTGGCTTTAATTTGCGATCTGTTTCTCTCTAGGCTCCGGCGGTGGCTTTTGCCCACAAAGGATATCACATCTTACTGGAGAAACCTATGGCGGTAAGGGATGATGGTGATTATTATTATTATTATTACTAGCTTGTGTAACTGGTGTTATTTGAAAAAGTCAGTTTTGTAACTGTACAAAATGCATAAGGTTGTGGGGAACTACAACTCCTATCATGCCAGGTGAACCCCAAGAAACTCCATCAGTACTTAAAAGTTTGTTATTGTGGCGAAGTGTAAATTTTTAATTTGCAGTTATGTATAATTATAGATAGATGTTTAAAGGGTAAGTATTTAAAGTTGCATAACTAAGGGGGATGGTAGCCAGCTCAGCTCATGTTGAGCTGGGTTACCATGGAAACAGGGGCAGAGCCAACTGCCACTTGGCAGGGCAGCCATTTTAAAACAGTTAGTCTGTAGTCAGTGAACTACAGGAGTGGCTGGTTCTGTGGTAGTGAGAACCAGAAGGTGTCTGTAGTTTAAAAACTACAGGGAAAGGACTGATTCTACTGTAGTAAGAATCAGGAAGGTTTTGGCTTTTAGCCTGAGTAGTTTAAATAAGTTGTGCTGACTTATTTATATTAATAGTTAGTGTATGAGAGAAAAGGTGAGAGAAACGCAGTGAGAATCTCTATTGCAACAGAAACATCACAAAGAAAGAATAAGCTTGTAACGGAAGTAAACTATTAAGGAAAGAAACACAGTTTGAAGAAAAATACCGTATATTCCGGCATATAAGACGACTGGGCGTATAAGACGACCCCCAACTTTTCCAGTTAAAATATAGAGTTAAGACGACTCCCATGCATAAGACTACACCCGCGTATAAGACGACCCCTGACTTTTGAGAAGATGTTCTTGGGTTAAAAAGTAGTCTTATACGCCAGAATATACTGTAAGTCTGAAACCTGTTTAGTGGAAGTAAGAGTCCTTTCCAGAGTTGTTTAAGAAATGTTATAAATGTAACCTATGAAGATATGTGCCTCTAAGAGTTAAGTAACATTGAAACCATCACGCTCCTTCTACATTTCAATAAACTTGTTACTGTTTTTCCTAAAGCTCTGACTCTGTTACAATTCCTTTCCAAGTTAAGTCACGCTACACATTAAAGAAAGACCAAGTCAATATCACTAGCTATTTGCTATCAAATTAAAAGACCCTTACAAAGTGGTGGCTCCTTTACCAACTCTTTACTAATTAGTGGCCTTGTCACAAATTGGTGAAATCTTCACAGTTATGTTGGGCAAGTTTGCTCTAGATGCATCATTAGAGGGGTTTGGTGTGCTCTCTGGCTGTAGGGTAAACTACAACTCTCACTATGGTGAGTCAGTCCCCTCAAACCCCTCTAGTAGGTTGAGTTTGTCATGAGGGTTCTGTGTGCCAAGTTTAGTCCAGGTCCATCATCGGTGGGGGTCACAGTTTCTCCAGTTGTGGGTGAACTACAACTCCCAGAAAGGAAGGTCAGTTTCCCCCAAATCCCTCCAGTAATCAAATGTCAGCATATCAGATAAGTATGCCTCATTTGGTCCAGATCCATCAGTGTTTGGGTTCACAGTTCTCTCTGGATGTAGGTGAACTATAACTCCCCCATATCAAGGTGAATTTCCACAAAAGACCTCCAGTATTTTTTGCTGGTCATGCAGGCTCTGTTTGGTCCAATTCCCTCTTTGGTGGCATTCAGAGTGCCCATTGATTACAGCTGAACTATAAATCCCAGTAGCTGCAACTCCAAAAAGTTCAAGCCAATTCCCCTCAAAACCCACCAGTATTCAAATTTGGGCATATTGGGTATGCATGGCAAGTTTGGTCCAGATTTATCATTGTTTGTGTTCATACTGGATATATGTGAGCTACAACTCCTATAAATCTCTCCAAAGACCTCCAGTATATTTTGTTGGTCCATGGGGAGTTCTGTGTGCCAAGTTAGTTCCAGGTCCATTGTTGGTGGAGTTCAGAGTGCGGTTCTTAGACTGCAGGTGAACTATACTTCCCAGGATCTATAACTCCTATTAATCATGGTGAATTCTCCCCAAACTTCTCTATTATGTTCAGTTGCTGATCAGATCTGCTCTGTTTGATGTGCGCCATAGTAAAGAGTAGGAAAGAGTTATGGGAGAGGCAGTAGGCGGGATCATGCAAATTCCACACCAATGGAGAGAGGCAGAAGCACTTAGATTTTTGTGGTGGAGGAAACAAATACCCAATACTCCCAAATTTGAATACTGATGGGGTTGTAGGGGTGGGATTGATTTGTCATTTGGAAGTTGTAGTTGCTGGGATTTATAGTTCACCTACAATCAAAGAGCATTCTGAACTCCACCAGTGATGGAATTGAGCCGAACTTGGCACACAGAACTTTCATAACCAATAGAAAATACTTGTTTGGTTTGTTTGGAAGTTGTAGTTCACCTGCATCCAGAGAGCACTGTGGACTCAAAACAATGATGGATCTGGACCAAGCTTGGCATGATAATCAATATGCCCAAATGTGAACTCTGGTGGAGTTTGGGGAAAATGGACATTTGGGAGTTGTAGTTGCTGGGATGTATAGTTCACCTACAATTAAAACGCCTTCTGAACCCCACCAATGATAGAATTAGGCCAAACCTCCCACAAGGATTCCCCATGACCAACAGAAAATGCTGTGTTTTCCGATGGTCTTTGGTGACCCCTCTGACATCCCTTTGCAACCCCTTCAGGGGTCCCGACCCCCAGGTTGAGAAACACTGTTAATTCTGTTATTATTACATTTTATATTATTATATATTATTATATTATATTATTATTATTATATATGATATATTATTATTATTCTATTTTATTGCTCTATTATTACATTTTAGGTTATTTTATAGTTATATAATATATGTTATATTATTATTACTGTGTATATTTTATTATTCTATTTTATTATTATTACTATTAATATTATTTTACATACACACACCCAGGATCAGGACCAAAGCAGCCTGTTTCCAGTTCCAGTTCTAATAATAATAATAGCTAATACGTCACACAGTCCTAAACACTTGGGAAATGTCCGACGTGTGATCCAATACAACAGCCAGCATAATTATCTTATTTGCTGTGTACTATTCTTGTTGTGTTTCAAATAATAATAATAATAATAATAATAAACATCATCATCATCATCATCATAATTGAAACCAGAATTGAAAAGTCGATGACAGATCCCAAATGTAGACTCTGCAAGGAAGCAGGTGAAACAATAGATCACATCCTCAGCTGCTACAAGAAGATCGCGCAGACAGACTACAAGCAGAGGCACAACACTGTTGCTCAGATGATTCATTGGAACTTGTGACATAAATACCATCTGCCTGAGACAAAGAACTGGTGGAATCACAAGCCGGAAAAAATTACAGAGAATGAACACGTCAAGCTACTCTGGGACTTCCGGATTCAGACTGACAGAGTTTTAGAGCACAAGACTCCTGACCTCACTATCGTGTTAAAAAACAAAGTACGGATCATTGATGTTGCAATCCCAGGTGACAGCGGGATTGAAGAGAAACATCTGGAAAAGCTGACATGATATGAGGATTTAAAGATCAAACTGCAAAGACTCTGGCACAAGCCAGTCAACGTGGTCCCAGTGGTGATCGGCACACTGGGTGCAGTGCCTAAAGACTTTGGCCTGCACTTAAACACAATTGGCATTGACAAAATTACCATCTGTCAGCTGCAAAAGGCCATCCTACTCGGATCTGCATGCATTATTTACATCACACAGTCCTAGACACTTGGGAAGTGTCCGACATGCGATCCAATACAACAGCCAGCAGAGTGATCTTGTTTGCTGTGGACTCATCTTGTGTATCAAATAATAATGATAATGATAATAATAATAATAATAATTTTATTTCTTGCCCGCCACTCCTCTCACGGCTAAAACATTGCTAAAACACATAAAATACTTAAAATAATAACTTGGCTGATATGGTTGTTCATGATTTTCTTGTTTTCTTTTATCAGACCACCCCAGAAGACTGCAAAGAAATAGTCCAGGCTTGTAAAACCGGCAATGCCATCCTTGCAGTGTGCCATGTCCTGCGCTACCATCCGGTTGCCCTGAAAATCAAGGTATGACATCCAGCATTGATGGTGACAGCAACCTCTCTCTCTCTCTCTCTCTCTCTCTCTCTGTGTGTGTGTGTGTGTGTATATATATATATATATAAGTTGACTTCATTACAAGGGTTGTAACACGTACCATGTTATCCTCCGCCTGCTCTGCCGTTGAGGTCTTTGGGTCTTTGGACTGTGCTTGGTCTGGAACCTCCCTCGCGGCCATTCCTGGGAGTGCATGACTCCATTCGTTGTGCCCGCAGGCTCATTGGAACCCACAAGCCCCCTCACCACGACAAGGTGACAGTCCATCGAGGCTGTGAAAGCGGAAGAAGGCTGCAACAGATTGAGAAGCCACAGGTCGTTGTGTTAAACCCAAAAGGTGCCCTAAACATAGTCTGCCTCTCTTACCCCTAAACTGCCGCGTCCAGTGGGTTCGCCAACCTGCAAAGCATATGAGAAGCTCAGCCTGTCATTGAACATCGAGAAAACCAAAGTGCTCTTCCAGCAGTCATCAGACAATCCTTCTCCAATGCCAGAAATACAGCTTAAGGATGTAACATTAGAAAATGTTGATTATTTCCGCTCCCTTGGCAGCCACCTCTCCACCAAAGTCAACATTGACACCGAAATACAATACTCTGCCTGAGCTCTGCAAGTGCAGCTTTTTTTTCCAAATGAATCAGAGAGTGTTTGAGGACAGGGACATCCATAGGGATGCCAAGGGGCTTGTTTATAAGCTATGGTCCTCCCAACCCTGCTATATGCCTGCGAGATGTAGACTGTCTACAGACGTCAATATTGACACTGAAATTCAACACCGCCTGAGCTCTGCGAGTGCAGCCTTTTTCCGAATGAAGCAGAGGGTGTTTGAGGACCAGGACATCCTTAGGGATACCAAGGGGTTTGTTTATAAAGCTATTGTCTTCCCAACCCTGCTATATGCCTGCGAGATGAGGACTGTCTACAGACTTCAGCATTGACACTGAAATTCAACACCACCTGAGCTCTGCGAGTGCAACATTTTTCCAAATGAAGCAGAGAGTGTTTGAGGACTGGAACATCTGTAGGGATACCAAGGGGCTTGGTTATAAAGCTATTCTCCTCCCAACCCTTCTATATGCCTGCGAGACGTGGACTGTCTACAGATGTCAAATGCAACTTCTGGAACGATTCCATCAGCACTGCCTCTGGAAAATCCTGCAAATCTCTTGGGAAGACAGGCGGACAAGCATCAGCGTGCTGGAAGAAGCAAAGACCACCAGCATAGAAGTGATGGTCCTCTGCCATCAACTCCGCTGGACCGGCCACATTGTCCGGATGCCCGACCACCGTCTCCCAAAGCAGTTGCTCTACTCTGAACTCAAGAACGGAAAATGGAATGTTGGTGGGCAGGAAAAGAGATTGAAAGATGGACTCAAAGCCAACCTTTAAAATTCTGGCATAGACACTGAGAACTGGGAAGCCCTGGCCCTTGGGTGCTCCAGCAGGAGGTCAGCTGTGACCAGCAGTGCTGTAGAATTTGTAGAGGTACAAATGGAGAGCGAAAGAGAGAAATGTGCCAAGAGGAAGGCGCATCAAGCCAACCCCAACCGAGACTACCTGGAAACCAATGCCCTCAATGCGGGAGATGCAGATCAAGAATAGGGCTCCACAGTCACCTATGGACCCACGAGAGAACTGATCTTGGAAGAACATCCTACTCAGACATTGAGGGAGCGCCTAAGTAAGTAAGTAATTACAAGGGTAGACTTTACGGCCAAAGTCACCATGTATATTCAACATATTAAGTAGATTTCATTTCTGAGTCGTTACCATATATACTCACATATAGTCTGGTCTTTTTTATAAGTCATAGGTCCAAATTACTGCATATATTTGTGTGGTGGCCTCGCAAGTGTTCTTGGAGGAAACTGATTATCTGGATTCAGCTCAGTCTGACTTTAGGAACTGAAAAAGCCTTGGTTGCCTTAGTGGATGAATCTGTGTTTGTTCTCCTGGACCTCTCAGTAGCCTTCGATACCATAGACCACAGTATCCTGGGACGCCTCGCAGAAATGGGTTTGGGAGGTACTGATTTGCAGAGGCCCCAGTCCTTCCTAGAGGGCTATTCTCAGAAGGTGTTCTTGGGCATGCCTGTTTGGTTTCAGTAATTGCTTTTAACTGTATGGCTTTTAATGTATTTATGTTATTTGTATGTCTGTTTTATGTGGCATGTTTTATGTGGCATGTAAAGCCACTCTGAGTCCCCTTTGTGGTAAGAAGGGCGGGGTGTGTGGATAGATAGATAGATAGATAGATAGATAGATAGATAGATAGATAGATAGATAGATAGATATAGAGGAAATAAATAAATAAACATGTTCAAGTATAACGTTAATTTCTATGTGATTACTGTACATGCCCAAGTATAAGTAAATATCATATATAACTCCAAGGGTAGGTTTTGGGGCCAAATTTACCATATATACTCATGTATAAGTCCATTTCATTTATTATTATTATTATTATTATTATTATTATTATTATTATTATTAAGTAGTTACCACATATATTCATGTATAAGTTGATCTCATATATAGGTCCAGGACAGGGTTGAGGTCAAAATTATTTTTGGGAGGGGTAAGATTTGTAGGCCTGTATTTTGGTACTTTGTGCATTTGATAAGCTGTAGAAAGCCATTGCAATTTTGCAGGTGGGAGACGTAAGTGTTTACAATCTACATTCTCGTTTTTATTTGCCTCTTAGGAGCTGCTGGATTCAGGACTCATCGGAGACATCTGCCACATTCAGCACTTGGAACCGGTAAAGTGCCATTAATGCATTACACAACAACAACAACTGGTTGCAGTGCCTAAAGACCTTGGCCTGCACTAAACACAATCGGCGCTGACAAAATTACCATCTGCCAGCTGCAGAAGGCCACCTTACTGGGATCAGCACGCATTAGTCGCCGATACGTCACACAGTCCTGGACACCTGCGTCAACGTGTGATCCAATACAACAGCCAGCAGAGTGATCTTGTCTGCTGTGACTCATCTTGTTGTGTTTCAAATAATAATAATAATAATAATAATAATAATAATAATCCTAGACACTTGGGAAGTGTCCGACGTGTGATCCAATACAACTGCCAGCAGAGTGTCTGCTGTGGACTCATCTTGTTGCGTTTCAAATAATAATAATAATAATAATAATAATAATAATAATAATAATAATCCTAGATACTTGGGAAGTGTCCGACTTGTGATCCAGTACAACTGCCAGCAGAGTGCTGTGGACTCATACTGTTATGTTTCTAATAATAATAATAATAATAATAATAATAATAATAGTCCTAGACACTTGGGAAATGTCCGACGTGTGATCCAATACAACAGCCAGCAGAGTGTCTGCTGTGGACTCATCTTGTTGCGTTTCAAATTATAATTATAATTATAATAATGTTGTGTTTCAAATAATGATGATGATGATAATTTTATACCTTTTATTTTATATTTTATATATTTTTTTACCATTGATGTTTAATTCTGGGTTGCTGTGAGCTTTCCGGCCTATCTGGCCATGTTCCAGAAACATTCTCTCCTGACATTTTGCCCACATCTATAGCAGGCATCCCCAGAGGTTGTGAGGTCTGTTGGAAACTATGCAAGCAGGGTTTATATATCAGTGGAATGATGTCCAGGGTGGTGGAAAGAACTCTGGTCTGCTGGAGGCAAGTGTGAATGTTGCCATTGTCCACATTCACACTTTGGCCTTGATTAGCACTAAATAGCCTTGCAGCATCAAAGCCTGGCTGCTTCTTTTTTGACTTGGGTGATGGTTGGAGTTTTTATGTAGGTGATTGTGTGATTACCATGTGTGATTATCTGTAAACTGTGCGGCCCAATTGTTGATTGGATTTGCGGATAACTAGGACATCTAGAAATGGCAGTTTCCCTTCATTTCCTTTTTCCATGGTGAACTGGATGTTAGGGTGGATGCGGTTGAAGTGGTCCAGGAACTTGTTCAATTCTTCTTCTTCTTGGCTCCAGATCTGGCTGCCACTATTGTAAAACTCTAAAATTAGGACAGTAAATAAAGAGCAACATTAAAAAAACAGGGAATAATCAGGGCCAGCTAACACCTCCTGGGCAGGAAGCAGCCAGGCCTTGAAGCAGCAGGCCATTCAATGCTAATCAAGCTGGAAAATTCACACTTGCCTCAAGGAGACAAGAGTTCTTCCTCCCATCCTGGACATTATTCCACAGATATATAAACCTCACTTAGTTTCCAACAGACCTCACAATCTCTGATGCCTGCCATAGATGTGGGTGATATGTCAGGAGAGAATGCTTCTGGAACTTGGTCAGACAGCTCAGAAAAATCACAGCAACCCATCCTTTCCTTTCCTTTCTTTCTTTCCTTCCTTCCTTCCTTCCGTCCAGGTGGGATTCTGGCATTTTGCACACTCCTTCGTGCGTGGGAACTGGCGGAACGAAGCGGAAAGCTCCTTCTCCTTGCTGGCAAAATCGTGCCATGATCTCGATCTCATTAATTTCTGGATGGGGGACAAAAGGTAACTCAAAGCAAGGAGGTTGGGGGCCAGACTATAGTTTCTTTCTTTCTTCTTTACACAGAAAGCTCAGGTCCTAAGAAGGGTAGGCCAGACAGCGTGTGAACTGGGCCATACGCACGGCATTGTTGCAGGAGTGGGTAGCTTTGCATTTTAGGGAGATACTTGAGTGCTTATCTCAGCTACTCAAATAAGAATTAGTATGTCATAAGTAAACAAAGGAGTAAGAAAAAGAAAATAAGCAGAGTGGGAGGAATACAATAATGTAAAACGTGTGACTGCTGTTGACTGCTCACCTCCATTTTACCATTTACACAGAGAAACAATAAAGGCATATTCCTGCTATAAACCACTTTCATGCCCTGACTCAACTGTGAGAGGAGAAAAGGAAGAGCAGGCCCACAAGTTACAAACAGCAATAAAATAAATGGAATTTAGAGTAGAAAGGGAAGAGAAAGAGAAAAGGTGAAGGGAAAGGAAAAGGGTAAAGGAATACAATTATAGAGCAGCTTAATGTGATAAAATATAGAGAGAAACTGTTAATCTGTTACCAAGGAAGAAAGAAAAGGAATTGAATGAAAGGGAAAGGAAAGGAAAATGGGAAATGGATGGGAAAGAGAAGTGTGAATTAAAAGTAAATATGAATGGAATCGAAAGGAAATCGCAAGGAAATCAACGTAAATAAATCAACTTTAAATAATAAATGCTACCTTAAATATAGCATGTCTAATCAACTACATGGGACAATAAAGCCTGGATAGTAATTTCAGTCCATTACATTAAATTAACTATCCCTTTATTTAATTATATACCTCTCTCTCCATTGACTCTCACTAACCTCTAATCTCTATCACTTATATTCCTCTCCTTTCAATTTCCCTATCCCTTTTATATACTATAAATTTCCCTATCCAATTTTCCATTTAATTCTCTCCCTCTCTCTACCATTGCCTATAAATCAACTCTATCTCTATCCTACAATTAATTACTTAAGTACTTACTTACTTTAATTTCCTACTTCATTAATTATTAAATATAAACTTAATATTTAACTCAATAAATTTAAATTTACTTCTCTTCACTATATCTCACCTTGCTCTACTGATTCGTCATACATCCACATTTAATTTCAATTTCCCTCTACTTTTCTTCACATCGACATTCTTATTTCCTTTATATTCCATCTTGCGTGTACCTACGGGGGGTGACAACAATGTGAAATTCTGATTCAACTTTCATGTACAGTTTAATTAACTATAAAATTGATTAACTTTACCCTTTACACTCTAACTTTCTTTAACTATCACCTTTTCATTTAATTATCTTAATACTCTATAAACTGGAATCAAACTCAAATCTATATCATACTATTCTACTCTAACTTATATAACTACCCATTTCCTTACATTTATTCCAATAAATTAACTTTACTTCGTCTAAACTCGAATCTAACGCATTGCACTATCTATAAACTCTATATACTCTACTTCATTTACAATCTAATTCCTTTCCCTCTCCCTTTCTTTCCCTCTCCCTTTTCTTTCCTTCTCTTCCCTCTCCCTCCCCTTGCCTCTCCCTCCCCTCTATCTCTCTCCTTCCTTCCCTCTCCCTTTCCTTTCCCTCTCCCTTTCCCTCTCCCTTTCTTTCCCTCTCCCTTTTCTTTCCTTCTCTTCCCTCTCCCTCCCCTTGCCTCTCCCTCCCCTCTATCTCTCTCCTTCCTTCCCTCTCCCTTTCCTTTCCCTCTCCCTTTCCCTCTCCCTTTCTTTCCCTCTCCCTTTTCTTTCCTTCTCTTCCCTCTCCCTCCCCTTGCCTCTCCCTCCCCTCTATCTCTCTCCTTCCTTCCCTCTCCCTTTCCTTTCCCTCTCCCTTTCCTTTCCCTCTCCCTTTCTTTCCCTCTCCCTTTCCCTTTCCTTCTTCCTCTCTCCCCCTCCTCTCCCCCCTCTATCTCTCCCCTTCCTTCCCCTCCCTTCCTTTCCCTTCCCTTTCCTTCCTTTCCTTCTTCTTCCCTTTCCTTCCTTCTTTCCCTTCCTCTCTTTCTCCTTCCCCTTCTCCTTCTCTTCCCCTCTTCCTTTCCCTCCTTTCCCCTCCCTTTCCCTTCCCTCACCCTCTCATTTTTCCCTTCCTCTCCATTGCCATCTGTAGTGGATCTTACCTTGTATGCCGGAAAGGAAGCCTGGATAACAGTATGGCAAACCTCAATTTTGGGAGTGGAAGCCAGGGAGGCAGCCATCTTGAGTGAGGATAGTTAGAAGATGGGATGAGTTTGGAAGTCTCCCAGGATTGGCCAGAGCAGATGGGAGGAGCCAAATCTTAGGAGGGAAAAGATTTCAGCTTCAGTGAGAGTTGAGAACTGGGAGCTGGTCTGTGAAGAAGGGTTTTTGAAACTGGGTTTGCAGGGAAAGAGTGTCTGTGTCAGAGAGTGCTGTGTGCTGACAGGAAAAAGGTCAGACAGCAACCTGATTTCTTGTGGGAGTTAGCACAAGAGATTATCTCTCTCCAGCCTGGGTTAGTTAGCAGGAAGAACTTTAGGGTAGAGTTAGTTAATAACCCAGGGACTACCTAGGATAGGTTAGTCAGAACTCATTACTATTTCTCTGAAGTAGAGTGAGAGTTTTTGGTACCAACAGTCAGAATCTGTTTGGTTATATATGTCTGTACCCAAGTGAAGAGAATTACTCAAGCAACTATCAGGCTGAAGTACTTTTGTAACAAGTCACGCTTTTTGTACCTTTCAGAAGTAGTTTGTTGTCTGTTTTTATAAATAAATCTTGTTCTATTTAACTTTCAAAAGATCTCTACTGTGCATCATTCAATCATCAAGCCTTTGTGATAGTTCCAGCCTTTTTAACATCTTGTTACTACAGAAAAGCCTCTTCACAAACAGTTATTTTGGGAGCTAGTGGGAAAAGCAGTGAGGGCAGGAGTGGGAAAAGTTTACCTCAAATACTTTTTAAAAATCCTAACACATTTTAAGTCGGTGGCAGCTTTAATCCGCAAGAGAGTTTAAAGACAAACAGTGTTCACTCTACCATAACACTTATCCATCATCATCTCGCTACTGTATTGGGGACATTAGTGTGGGATATATTATACATTCCTTTATATCATCCCTCTCCCTTTCCTCCCTGTTCCCTCTCTCTTTCCCTTCCCTCTCCCTCTCCTTTTCTCTTTTCCTTCCATTGCCTTCCCTATGCCTCTCCCCTTCCTTCCCGTCCCCTCTCCCTTTCCTCTCCCTTCAATCCCTCTTCCTTTCCTTCACTCTCCCTTTCCCCTTCCCCTTTCCTTTCCTTTTGGAGGAATGTAGAGATAGGAAAAGAACTGAAAGGTGGGTTAAGGAGCAAGTAGAGGGTGTGAATGGAGGTGACAATCTTAACATTTAGAATGAGGGCCAGGTAAACAGCTTTGGGGGACCGGATCCAGCCCGCGAGCCGTAGTTTGGGGATCCCTGTCCTGGACCCTAGAGCAAAGTGATTGCAGCTCCCTTTCCCCCATCTTTTCTTCCAGATGTTTGAAAGTGTCCTCTTTTGGGAATGTCTCCCATTTCACAAAAGAGCACCAGGTTTGTTGGATTTTCCTATCCTATGCCAATCTGGCCCAAAAGCTTTTAAGGGAGTTTATTGATGATTTCCCCTCCACCCCCACCCCCCAAAAAAGTTTGTTTCCTTTATGTGTGATTCTGAAAGTATTCTAAAATGTTAACAAATGGAAGCTTTACCTACTTTTTAATATTATTATTTCAGCCCAAAGGAGCATCCAGCCGCTGTTGGGATTGTTCGGTAGAGCAAACCTGCCCGTATTCTGCTCAGAAGATCTACATGGAGCCAGCAAAAAAGGTGGGAGTTATATGTGTTGTCAAAGGCTTTCATGGCCAGAATCACTGGGTTGCTGAGAGTTTTCCGGGCTGTGTGGCAATGTTCCAGAAGCATGCTCTCCTGATGTTTTGCCCACATCTATGGCAAGTGGGATTTATATATTTGTGGAATGTCCAGGGTGGGAGAAAGAACTCCTGTCTGTTGGAGCAAGTGTGAATGTTTCCATTGGCCACTTTGATTACCTTGCAGCTTCAAAGCCTGGCTGCTTCCTGCCTGGGGGGAATCCTTTGTTGGAAGGTGTTAGCTAGGCTTGATTGTTTCCTGTCTGGAATTCCCCTGTTTTTTGGAGTTTTGCTCTTTATTTTCTGTCCTGATTTTAGAGTTTTTAAATACTGGTAAACCTCCTTTGTCTAGTTTCCAATAGACCTCACAACCTCTGAGGAGGCCTGCCATAGATGTGGGCAAAATGTCAAGAGAGAAGGCTCTGGAACTTGTCCAGACAGCTCGGAAAACTCACAGCAACCCAGTGGGAGTTACAGTTTTATAAGGTCTCATCAAACTACAACTCCCAGGGTCCCATAGCGTGGAGCCATGGGAGGTAAAGGGAGTCAAGCTGCATTAGTTCAGCAGTGTAGATACACTCCCTGAACCCCTCTCCAATTTTTTGACTCCTTGACTGGGTTTCTAGGGCTACTTTGATTGGCCAGTGTCCGTCGTTTGCAGTGACGGCGCATACGATATCGAATCCCTGGCGGACGCCTTGAGGCGTGGTCCTTATGGAAGGTGCGTTTACCAGTGCGACAACGACGTTGTCACCAACCAGGTATGTGACATTTACGTCTCTGGAGATTTTGAAGCAGAAGCTGGATATCCATCTGTCGGGAGGGCTTTGATTGTGTCCTGCCTGGCAGAAGGTGGGACTAGATGGCCCTTTCCAACTTGAGGATTTTGTGTTTCTAGTTGACTCTGTTAACTGGAACTCTGAAGCAGCTGGCAAAATAAATAAGATTTAATTCCATTTTAATTTTTAAAGTAAGTTTGGATTGTTTTTAGATATTCATTTAAAATAAATTTTAACATCTAATTAAAATAAGGCTTCATTCTCTTTTATTTTTTTCATATTTTGTAGAAGTTAAATTGTATCTTTTAATAATAATAATAATAATATTTCTTTCCAGGTTGTCAATATGGAATTTGAAGGAGGAGCTACAGTTGGCTTTACGATGGTTGCCTTCACCGAGAAATTAGGCATGCGAAAAACCACCATCTATGGAACAAAAGTAAATCTATGCACAATATTTTTAATATATATTAAATTAGAGATAAAAACAGAGTATTTTTATGGGACTTACTTCCAGGTAGATGACGTTATGCACTTAACTGGAACCAAGCCCTATTTTAAGTCAGTAGGACTTGTTTTGGGGGTCGGGATATAGCTAATTAAATCCCCGAAAATCTGCTAGTCATATGGGCTTTCATTGAGACTTGGATTACGGGAAGCAAATTTGGCCAAGCCAAGAATGATCCATGAAATCAGTATTAAATTATTTCCATGGGATCTACTATACTTGCGATTAATAATTGATTCAAACCATTAGTTCTAAATAAATGTATTTCTTATTTGGACCGTGGAATTACAGTGCAGTCTTGGCTGTGCCTACTGTTGTCACCACATAGTGTTGGTTCCACCTACTGTTAATTCCATTCACCATTGGCTCTGCCTACTATTGGCTCTGCCTACTATTACCTCCACCCACCATTGGCTCCACCTATTAGTTCCACCCACTATTGGCTCTGCCTATTATTAGCTCCAGCCACCATTGACTCTGCTTACCATTAACTTCACCCACCACTGGTTCTGCATTTTAGCTCCACCTATTAGTTCTGGTTACCATTAACGGCACCCACCTTTGGCACTGCTTACCATTAGCTCTACCAACTGTTGGCTCTGCTTACCGTTAGCTCCACCCACCATTGGCTCTGCATACCATTCGCTCCACTGACCTTTGACTCCGCCTGTTAGCTACATCTATTAGTTCCACCTACTGTTAGCTCCACCCACTGTTGGTTCTGTTTACCATTAGCTCCACCCACCATTGGCTTTGCTTACTATTAGCTCCACCCACCGTTGGCTCTGTCTACTGTTAGCACCACCCACCATTGACCCTGTATGTTTGCTCTGCCTATTAATTACGCCTACCATTAGCTCCACCCACCATTGGCTCTGCTTACCATTAGGTCCGCCCACTATTTGCTCTGCCTACCACTATCTCCACCGACCATTGACTTTGTCTACCATTAGCTCCACTGACCTTTGACTCCACCTGTTAACTACATCTATTAGTTCCACCTACCGTTTGCTCCACCCACCACTGGTTCTGTTTACCATTAGCTCCACCCACCATTGGCTCTACTTACCATTAGTTCCACCCACTGTTGGCTCGGCTTACTATTAGCTTCACTCACCATTAGCTCTGTTTACTGTTAGCACCAGCCACCATTGACTTCATCTGTTTGCTCTGCCTATTAATTACATTTACGATTAGCTCTAACCCCCCATTGGCTCTGCCTAAAATTAGCTCCACCCATCTTTGGCTCTGCTTACCATTAGCTCCACCCACTATTTGCTCTGCCTACAATTAGCTCCACCCACTATTTGCTCTGCCTACCACTATCTCCACCTACCATTAGCTCCACCCACTGTTGGCTCCACCTACCATTAGCTCCACCCACTGATTGCTCTACTTACCATTAGCTCCACCCACTGTTGGCACCATTAGCTCCACCCACCATTGGCTCTGTTTACCATTAGCTCCACCCACTGTTGGCTCTGTTTACCATTAACTCCACCCACCAATGGCTCTACTTACCATTAGCTCCACCCACTGTTGGCTCCATCTACCATTAGTTCCACCCACCATTGGCTCTGCTTACTAATAGCTCTACCCACCATTGGCTCTACTGACCATTAGCTCCACCCACTGTTGGCTCTGTTTACCATTAACTCCACCCACCATTGGCTCTACTTACCATTAGCTCCACCCACTGTTGGCTCCATCTACCATTAGCTCCACCCACCATTGGCTCTGCTTACTAATAGCTCCACTCACCATTGGCTCTACTGACCATTAGCTCTACCCACTGTTGGCTCTACTTACCATTAGCTCCACACACCATTGGCTCTGCTTACTAATAGCTCCACCCACCATTGGCTCTGCTTACTAATAGCTCCACCCACCATTGGCTCTACTGACCATTAGCTCTACCCACTGTTGGCTCTACTTACCATTAGCTCCACCCACTGTTGGCTCCATCTACCATTAGCTCCACACACCATTGGCTCTGCTTACTATTAGCTCCACCCACCGTTGGCTCTATCTGTTAGCTCCACCCAACATCAGCTCTGCTTACCATTAGCTCCATCCACTATTTGCTCTGCCTACCATTATTTCCACCCACCGTTAGCCCCACCCACCAGTCCCTGCCCACTTTTCCATCAGTCAAGAGCCTTTCATTGAAAACCGGGTCCAATCGTGGTTTGAGTGTTGGATTAGGATCCTGGGAGACCCTTTCGGCCATGGAAAGGTACCTTGGGCAAGTCACACTCTCTCAGCCTCACTCTGAACAAAATCAATAGAAGAAAACCCCAGAAATAACCTGAAGGCCTGCAGCAATATTTGCATCCATGAAGTCTAGAGACCAGATCCTTCTGCTCTTTAGCCATAAAACCCGCCTTTTTCAGGGAGAGCTCCGCTGCGAAGGTGGCGGGCCGGTGGAAGTCTTCCGTTTCCTGGAGAAGAAGATGACCACCTTTTCTCCGGACAAGGCCTCCTCCGTCCCGGCGAGTTTGAGTGGCCACGATGGTGCCGACTTCTACCTGATGGAAACCTTTGTTTCGGCTGTAGCCGTATGTTTCCCCAACCTTTCCTGCTTTAATTCTTTTTGTGACTCTCTGGTTTCCAAGCAGCGGCTGGAAGCTAACCGTAAGGAATGTCCAACATGCAAGGAAATGGAAATATCAAATGCACTTTCCAACCTAACATGTACTGTATTCTAAATGCATGGAAAGCTAGCCCTCGTTCTTCCTCAGGTTCTAAACTTTTGTTTGCATTCCTTTTTTTTCCTTTGCAGGAGAATAATCCATCTCTGATCCAGACCGGTCCAGAAGACACCTTGCATTCTCACCTCCTCGTATTCGAAGCAGAGAAATCCCGGAGGGAAAACCGGGTTGTGTTCCTTGAACCATGAAAAGGAGACCTTGAGCTGCTATTAATACCTCTCTGGGAATATTCCAGAGTCACTTTGGATCTGAATGTGCTTTTGAATGTGGACCAAAATTGCCAAAGGTTTGCAATGGCACACACAAGCATTCAATGCAATAGTATTATAACACAGCTAGACCAATTTATATTCTATTGGTACACATTATGTTAATGATTTGAATCTTGGGAGTTGTAGCTGCTGGGATTTATAGTTCACTTACCATCAAAGAGCATTCTGAACCCACCAATTAATATAATTTTATTGGTATCTATTTTTATTTTGAAATTTACCAGTAGCTGCTGCATTTCCCACCCTTAACTTATACTCGAGTCACTAAGTTTTCCCAGTTATCGTTTTCTGGAAAAAGGTCAGACAGCAGTCTGATCTCTTGTGAGAGTTAGCACAAGAGATTGGCTCTCCAGGCTGGGTTAGTTAGCAGGAAGAACTCTAGGGTAGGGTTAGTTAATAACCCAGGGACTACCTAGATAGGCTAGTCAGACTCATCACTATTCTCTGAAATAGAGCGAGGGTTTTGTTACCAACAGTTAAGTTCTGTTTGGTTAGCTCTGTCTAGAACAAAGTGAAGAGAACTGCAAGCAACCAATCAAGCTGAAGTACTTACGTAACAAGTCACGCTTTTTGTACCTCTCAGGAGTGGTTAGTTGTCTGTTTTAACCTGTCCAAACGGATTCTCCCCTATGAACCATCAAGGTTGTTAAGATCTTCTGGAGGGGCCCTGCTCTTGGTCCCACCATCCTTGCAGGTGCGTCTGGTGGGGACGAGGGACAGGGCCTTCTCGGTGGTGGCCCCTTGGCTCTGGAACTCTCTCCCACTGGAGATTAGAACTGTCCCTTCTCTCCTGACTTTTAGAAAATTGGTGAAAACTTGGCTCTGGAACTTAGCATTTGATGAGTGAGTCAAGAACTTCTGACCACACAGACGGATGGTAATGAATTGTGATTTCTTTTGGACGATTTGGCTTTATGTAATTATATGATTGCTTTTAATGTATTTTTGTATTAGTGTGTTATATAGTGTGATGTTTTTAAACTACTGTTTTTGAATCGTGTTGTAAAGCGGCCTGAGTCCCTCCTAGAGGTCAAGAAGACCGGTATATAAAAGCTCTAAATAAATAAACCTCTGGGAAGATCTATCCTGCCCAGACATAATATTAATATGTCTCCAGCCTCGCGTCTTTTGTTATACTTAGCTTCCAATAGACCTCACAACCTCTGAGGATGCCGACCACAGATGTGAGTGAAACATCAGGAGAGAATGCTGCTGGAATATGGCCATATAGCCTGGAAAACTCACAGCAACCCGATAAAAGCAATGTTTGAAATGGATCTTGTACCATAAAGAATATGAACTCCCTACCAAACTTTTAAGGAACGCATAAATGAGTGCAGTCTTTTTTTTTTTAAATAAAATCTCAGTATCATGTTTTTAATAGTCTTTTTAGTATTTCACAATCTGCAGGGATGTACAAAGAAATGTACAGAGAGCCGTCCAATGTGTTAAATCCTCTGAAAAGCTTCCTCTGCCTTCAGTTGTAATAAAGTGTAACTCTTTGAACTCCGGGAGCTGCTTTGAGGGACTTGAGATTTGCTTCTGCAGCCTGGGAGACGCGGTTCTTTTGCCCTTTGAGCGGATGAGGAAAGTTCTTTGCAGACATCCATTTGGGTTTCACTCCTTGACTGCAGCCACCTCTTCCTCCAGAGCAGCCCCTTTGGCCTCTCGGGCTTGTCGCCTCTTCACTCGTTCAGCATTTGTGATGGTCATTGGATGGAGGGGGAAGAATCCAGAGAGCCCTAGGGAAGCAAATGGACAGCCTATTGTCATGATAATGAACCAGATCTCGGTAAACAAATTGCAACTCAGTCCTGAATCTGGTTTGCTGAAAGGCAGATCTGGGAATAGAGATTCAGGACTCTGCTAGATCAGGCTATGCTCACCTTGAAATCCTTGCAGTTTGGGTACTTTTCCAGATTTATATGAGGCTTTTTGGCTTTGGCTCAGCACTAAAATGACCATATGATAGGAATCTAATGCATACCTTATTATGATGAGGTAATTCAGGGTGTTAGACTCAGTTAAAAAGGGTTGCAATGACCTTTCACTACTTCAGTCCTTCAGATGTCTTTTTACGTGTGATGATGTGGGGGGGGGGGGATATTTTCTTTTTAATCTTTTTACTGCCTTGTATTGATGTATTTTCCCCTTTTTAAATTGGCTGGGGCTTCCTTGTGAGCTTTTACCTTGAGGCTTTTGTATTACAGGCTTGAGACACTCTTGTAGTAAACGAAGTAACAAAGTTTATTTTTAGCTTCTAGCTCCAACGCTTATGGTTACATCTGTGTGTTCTGTTACAGTCTTGAGTCTTACATTCAATATAATTCACTTAGTTAACTTTTCCTATCAAACTTCAACTGTTTCACATCAACAAATATGTTACTTTTTCATACACTCTTGACAGAACTATATTCCGTCTAAAACCACACTGGCACTTCTTTATTTTCCTTAAAACTTAAGCTCCATTTTTCTAACTGCTTTTCTCTCACAGAAGCTTCTAACTGTCCTCCACAAACAGGAATCCCTAACTGAAACTTTTTGACTCTCTAACTCCCTATTTTTAAACTTAACTCCGCCCCTTTGGAATGTTCAGCTCTTTTCCCCCAACTGCCATTCTGGCTCAGTGGCCCTTTCAAATCCTGGCCTACACTCATCTGCATACGACCAATCGGCTGCACGCATGCAAATTAATCTTGCCTCTACTGTTGCTACCCTATTTCTGCCAATTCTGCCACATTGCAACATAGAGCTATACATCAAAAATTTAACATAGATCAACAAATTCGYTACAGGGTATATAACAATAAATAATAAATGTGTTGTTGTTGTTATTATTAAAACAGAATATTTTTCCTCCATAAATTGCAAKGCAATTCAATAACAAAAAGGGCTACCGTATATACTCGAGTATAAGCCGTCCCGAATATAAGCCGAGGCACCTAATTTTACCACAAATAACTGAGAAAACTTATTRACTCGCGTATATGCCAAGGGTGGGAAATGCAGCAACTACTGGTAAAATTCAAAATAAAAATAGATACCAATATAATTACATTAATTGAGGCATCCGTGGGTTAAATGTTTTGAATATTTACATAAAACTGTAATTTAGTATAAGACTACCCAACTCTGATTAAACCATTATGCTAAACCTCTTCAATATAAATGTGCTTACGTATCCTTCCAATAATAATAGAGTAAAATAATGGAAATGTAATAATAACAGCAATAATAGAATAATAAATTTAATAATAACAATAATAGAGTAACATAATGGAAATGTAATAATAACAGTAATAAATAATAAATGTAATAATACTAATAATAATCAAGTAAAATAATAAATTTAATAATACTAATACTATTAATAATAATCAAGTAAAATAATAAATGTAATAAAAATAATAATAACAGAGTAAAATAATAACTCGAATATAAGCTGAGGGGGACTTTTTCAGCCTTAAAAAAGGTTTGAAAAACTAGGCTTATACTCAAGTATATACAGTATATTAATTGAAGCATCAGTAGGTTAAATGTTTATTATAAAACTGTAAGATAAGACTGACATTATTCTAACCTTCTTCAATGTACATGTGTTTATGTATCCTTCTAATAATAATAGAGTAAATTAATAAATGTAATAATAATAAAAATAATAAACTTAACCTATAAATGTAATAATAATAATAATAATAATAATAATAATAGAGTAAAATAATAAGCCGAGGGGAGCTTTTTCAGCCTAAAAAAGGGGCTAAAAATTAGGCTTATACTCGAGTATATACAGTATCTCTATAATAATACATTTTTGTGTGTCAGGAGTGACATGAGAAACTGCAAGTTGCTTCTGGTATGAGAGAATTGGCCGTCTACAAGGATGTTGCCCAGGGAACGCCTGGATGTTTGATATTTTACCATCTCTCACGTCCCTGCATAGGGAGCTAGAGCTGACAGAGGGAGCTCATTCGTGCTCTACTGTCAGTCTTCAGTCCTGCTGTCACAAGAGTTTAACCCATTGTGCCATGGGGGCTCAATAATAATAATAATAATAATAATAATAATAATAATAATAATAATAATAATAAATATATAAGAATTATTTTATTATTATTAAAACAGAATATTTTCCTTCATAATCTGCAATGCAATTCAATAACAAAAAGGAGTTAACCATATGATAATAATATAATAAATAATAATTACATTATTGTTAAACATAATATTCTTTCCTCCATAAAATACAATGTGCTTCGGTAACAAAAAAGGCTCTCTTAATACAAATATTTTATATCCATAATAAAAGTAAAAATATATATGTGTGGATATGGCTAGGGTGTCCACTTCCACAGACAGGCTCCCACTTCCACAGACTAGATTACCTAAAAGCTTTTCCACAGGTTTGGAGAGGAGGGCCCCATTGGCGATCCAGTATTTGATCCGCTCAATGTTCAAGCCTACGATCTTCTCCCCGTGATCATTGGGGAGTGGGTCGTAGCAGCCGATCTGCTCCAAGTACTTGCCGTCTCTGGCCCGCTTGTTGTGCGCAGCAACGATCCGATAGTAAGGCCTGTTGGCGCAGCCCCCCAGGGCAAAGCGGATGACGACGCGAAGGTTGTAATACTGCTTCAAGAGAATGCGCCCTGCAAGCAAGACCATAATAATAATAATAATAGATTGGCTGTGGCTAGGTGAAGGATTGGATGTTGCCAATATGTATGTATGTACGTACTGTGTTTAGCCTTGTTTGCTGCATAGGGCCTCTTTTAAGACAGAAAAGGAAGCCTATAATTGATAAATATATCAGGTTGCTGTGTGTTTTCCAGGATGTCTGGTCATGTTCCAGAAGCATTCTCTCCTGATGTTTTGCCCACATCTATGACAGGCATCCTCTGAGGTTGTGTGATGTGTTGGAAGCTATGCAAATGGGGTTTATGTATCTCCCAGGGTGGGAGAAAAAACTCTTTGTTTGTTGGAAGGAAGTGTGAATGTTGCAATTGACCACCTCGATTAGCACTGAATGGCCTTGCAGCTTGACTGCTTCCTGTCTGGGGAAATCCTTTGTTGGGAGGTGTTAGCTGGTCCTGAAACCATGAAAAAGAAACAAAATCTGGCTACTAGTGTGAAAAAATTCTAAAATCAGAACAGTAAATAAAGAACAACACTTAGAAAACAGGAGAATTCCAGACAGGAAACCATCAGGGCCAGCTAACACCCAACAAAGGATTCCTCCAGGCTGAAAGCAGCCTGACTTTGAAGCTGCAAGGCCATTAAATGCTAATCAAGGTAGCCAATTGTAACATTCACACTTGCCTCAAGCAGACAAGAGTTCTTTCTTTCTCCCACCCTGAACATCATTCCACAGATATATAAACCTCATTTGCCTAGTTTCCAACAGATTTCACAAACTCTGAGGATGCCTGCCATAGATGTGGGAGAATACTTCTTGAACATGGCCAGACAGCCTGGAAAGCAACCCCATTTCAATATACTAAATTTCAATAGGAGCCCCTGGTGGAGAAGAGAATTCATGACAGAAACGGAGACATGAGAGAGGGAAATTTGCATATGGTCTCTGATTGGCCAGCCTCAATTCCAAGATTCCGACATAACAAAGAGAGGAAAGGAAAAGGCGAGGGACTCTGTCAGAAAATAACCAATACAGACAAAACTTGGCACACAGAGCATCCATCACTCACTCTACATCCTACTGCAGTTTGGAGGAGGAGGGACCATAGATGATGGGACTTGCAGTACCATCACTCACTTTCTGAGACCGCTGTTGACCTTATCCAATGACTGATCAGGACCAAACTTGGCACATAGACCTCTCATGACCCACTTTACACCCTGGTGTGGTTTGGCCAGGGATGATGATGATGTTCATTCGTTCAGTCGTCTCCGACTCTTCGTGACCTCATGGACCAGCCCACGCCAGAGCTCCCTGTCGGCCGTCACCACCCCCAGCTCCTTCAAGGCCAGATATGGACCATGGATTATGGGACTTGCCGTACCTTTGTTCAATTCTTGAGACCACTGCAACCCTCATCAAATTACCGACAAAGACCAAACTTGGCACACTGAGTCTCCATGACACACTCTACATCCTGGTGCAGTTTGGAGGAGGATGCACCATGGACGATGGGACTTGCAATACCTGCACTCCTTTCCTAAGACCATTACAACTGACAACAATGATGGATCAGGACCACAATTCACACAGAGAGGCTGCATGACCCACTCTACATCCCGGTGCAGTTTGGAAGAATTTGACAACGGATGATGGGACTTGCAATCACTTCACTCACTTCCTGAGACCACTGAGGCCAATGACTGATCAAGACCAAACTTGGCACACAGAGTCCCCAGGACCCACTCTACACCCTGGTGCACTTTCGAGGAGGACAGACCATGGATGATGGGACTTCAAGTACCTCCACTCCCTTCCCAAGACTGCTGCAACCCTCATCTAATGACCAATCAAGACCAAATTTGGCACACAGAACCCCCATGACCCACTCTACATCCTACTGCAGTTTGGAGAAGGATGGACCATGGATGATGGGACTTGCAGTACCTAAACTCACTTTCTGAAACCACTGCCACCCTCATCCAATAACCGATCAAGACCAAACTTAGCACACAGAGCCCCCATGACCCACTCTACATCCTGCTGCCGTTTGAAGGAGGGTGGATCATGGATGATGGGACTTGCAGTACCTTCACTCACTTTCTGAAACCACTGCGATCCTCATCCAATAACTGATCAAGACCAAACTTGGCACACAGAGCCCCCATGACCCACTCTATATCCTGCTGCTGTTTGGCGGATATAGTACCTTCAAGTACCTTCACTCACTTCCTCAAAACAATGCAACCGTCATCCAATGACCAATAAAGACCAAACTTGGCATACAGAACTGCCATTACCCACTTTCTCTAATAACTCGGGCAATGCCGGGTCCCCAAGCTAGTTATAAATAAAAATATGTTTGTTTGTGGGATAAACATGAGTCAAAAACCACTGGACGAATTGACACTAAATTCAGACACAATACACCTATCAGGCCAACGAATAACCATCAATTATAAAAAACACTGAGAAACACAGCAGAAAGGAGTTAAAAAACAAAAAAATACATTACAACACATGCGCAAAATGAATAATTAATGCCACTTACCTAATTGAACCATAATGGCGGGCGAGGGGAAGAGAAGGAATCCGATATTTCTGAAGTTGGTTCGAGAAGCTACTTTGAAAAGACCTTTCCTGGCAACCTCCTGCTACCAGGCAGCCATGCTGTACTCACTGCGCATGCGTCAGGTCTCCTCCAGCAATAGGAAGCGGGCTTGCACTCTCCCGCCAATCAGAGAGCTAGAAGCAGATCACGTGGGCCGCCCTCGCGCAAAGGCCTTGTGGGCCACAGAAGCGTTGCCAAGGCAACCGCGTCAGGCCTAGCTCGGCCTAGCCGGCCACCGCCGCCTTTATTGAATTGAAAATACGGGCGGAGAGGCCTTCGCTGGGTCAGGAAGGTGAGCAGGACTCCAAAGAGAACGAAGCGAAGAAGCCGGAGGAGCCATTGGCTTTGCCAAAGAGAGAGAGAGCGAGGACAATACAGAGAACTAGGTTCTTGTGGGTTTTTTCGGGCTATAGAGCCATGTTCTAGAGGCATTTCTCCTGACGTTTCGCCTGCATCTATGGCAAGCATCCTCAGAGGTGTGAGGTCTGTTGGAAGTAGGAAAAATGGGTTTATATATCTGTGGGATGGCTGGGGTGGGGCAAGGAGCTCTTCCCTGCTGCAGTTAGGTGTGAATGTTTAGCTGATCACCTTCATTAGCATTTGAAGGCCTGCCTGAGCCTGGGAAAATCTGTTGCTGGGAGGTGTTAATCTGTGCCTGGTTTTTTCCTCTCTGTTGTTTGGCTGTTATAATTTTAGAGTTTTTTAATACTGGTAGCCAGATTTTGTTCATTTTCATTGTCTCTTCCTTTCTGTTGAAATTGTCCACATGCTTGTGGATTTCAATGGCTTCTCTGTGTAGTCTGACATGGTGGTTGTTGGAGTGGTCCAGCATTTCTGTGTTCTCAAATAATATGCTGTGTCCAGGCTGGTTCATCAGGTGCTCTGCTATGGCTGACTTCTCTGGTTGAAGTAGTCTGCAGTGCCTTTCATGTTCCTTGATGCGTGTCTGGGCAATGCTGCGTTTGGTGGTCCCTATGGAGACTTGTCCACAGCTGCATGGTATACGGTAGACTCCTGCAGAGGTGAGAGGATCCCTCTTGTCCTTTGCTGAACGTAGCATTTGTTGGATTTTCTTGGTGGGTTTGTAGATTGTTTGTATGTTGTGTTTCCTCATCAGCTTCCCTATGCGGTCAGTGGTTCCCTTGATGTATGGCAGGAACACTTTTCCTCTGGGTGTATCTTCATCTTTACTCTCGTGGCTTGTTCTTGGTCTTGCAGCTCTTCTGATGTCTGAGGTGGAGTATCCATTGGCCTGGAGAGCCCAGTTGAGGTGGTTCAGTTCATCTTGGAGGAGGTGGGCTTCGCAGATTCTTTTTGTAACTGCTTTGGGAGATGGTGATCGGGCATTTGGACAACGTAACACGTCCAGTGGAATGGATGGTGTAGGAGCATTGCTTCAATGCTGGTTGTAAAATGTAATAATACGATAAAATATAATAGCAATTTAATTGTATTATTTATTATTTAATATTATTTAATATAATCCTGCGTTTAACCCAGAGATTTGCAGGATTTTTCAGAGGCAATGCTGATGGAATTGTTCCAGGAGTTGAGTGTGACATCTACAGACAGTCCACATCCATCGTTGTTTGTGTTCATAGTGCTCTCTGGATGTTGACATCTACAGACAGTCCACATCCATCGTTGTTTGTGTTCATAGTGCTCTCTGGATGTAGGTGAACTACAACTCCTGTAAATCCCTCCAAAGACTTCCAGTGTTTTGTTTGTCATGGGGTTTTTATTTATGTATTTACTTCCTATATTTATATAGGTTCTGTGTGCCAAGTTAGTTCCAGGTCTATCATTGGTGGAGTTAATATTGCAGGTAGACTATATATTTCAGTACCTACAACTCCTACAAATCATGGTGAATTTCCCCCAAAATCCCTCCAGTATGTTCAGTTGCTGATCAATTCCTCTGCTTGCTATGTGCCGTAGAAAAGAAAGGGTTAGGGTTAGGGTTATGGGAGAGGCAGTGGGCGGCGGGGTCATGCAAATTCCACACCAATGGAGAGAGTAAGAAAAAGAGGGATGTCTGTGATGGAGGAAAAACAGTAAATCTATGATAGAATTGTCCACTTCGGTGGTGGGCAGTATTTATTTATTTATTTACACCATTTCTACCCCGCCCTTCTCACCCCCGAGGAGGGACCCAGGGCGGCTAACACAGGCAACAATTCAATGGCAACAGTATCAATAACAACAATATAAACCAACAATATATAATCCTATTACATAACAATTAAACAGTGCTATTAATTAAAATTACATAGTCACACAGAAGAAATCACATAATCACAAGTCATATAGCCGTTTTCAATTTTCTTAACAATCCTATTGTCCGAGTTCAGTGCCTAAAGTGCTGCTGTGCCCACTAGCCAAAGGCCTGGCTCCAAAACCACATCTTTAGTTTTTTCCTAAAAGTAAGGAGGGAGGACGCCGATCTAATCTTGCTGGGGAGCGAATTCCACAAGGCGGGGGGTCACCACCGAGAAGGCCCTGTCCCTCATCCCCACCAGACGCGTTTGAGACGCTGGTGGGACCGAGAACAGGGCCTCCCTGGATGGGACGTGGTTTTAAAAAGGGAATTTTCAGAGATCTTCCCAATGTCCATATGTCATGATTTACTGCCATATTGGCCTATTTCTGCAGTAGGCCTATGTTTACAGAAAATGCTGATTGTTTGAGAAATCAGTGCTCCAAAGAAGAAGTTACTATTCAAGGATAACAGTATATCCGGACAAAACCAGATAGCTGTTGCCTAGTTAGAACCCCCAAGTTTCCCAGTTGTTCTGGAGCCATGTTTGCAACAGACTAACAGATACAGTCATAGTCAGATAACAATAGACTATAGTTGTGTCATAGTTGTGCCATTGTTAGGATCCCACGTGTGCTATAATGTCAATCAAAATAATAAACAACTAATGAACAACTGTATAGCTAACTTAGACCAATGAAATGATTTGTCTTTGGGAATCAATGAAAATGTATATTCCATTTACTATAAATGCTCTGCAGCCCCATTGGGGGTTGTGACAAACCCTTTGATTGCATCCCTGTATGCTTGTTTGTCGTTATTGCTGTGGCCCCGCAATAAATAGTTTTTTGCAATTTAAAAGATTCAACTTTCGTGATGTCCATCCTTGCCCTCCCCATTGGAAAGGAGGCTTTTGTCTTTTGGGGAAATAATTTGGTTTCTTTGCCCCTACATCCCCAGTAGATCTTAAATTACGAGGTGGAACGTAGAGAACATTTGTGGAGGACATTGGCAGGGCTCTTGGATATGTTAACGGCACTCTCTATAACCTGCAATGTCATTGGAGGGAGGGCCATTGGTGTCTTCTAAGTAGTGGGAGTAATAGCTGTTTGTGGAGGCAGGAGCTTGTCTGTGCAAGTGGACAGCCCAGTCACATACACACATACATATTTTCCATTTTGATTATGTGTATAGACAACAACAGCGTCATGTCAATATTCAATGTTCTAATCTAAACTATTGTCGAAAATCATATATGCCTTACAAATATTTGCGTAGACCCACAGTTTGTCTCTCTTGTGTCCTTTTCCCCCATGCAGTGAGCAACATTTTACAAGTCTCATATTGTTAGCAAACTGTGTATGGCTCTTTGATTATTTTTTCCTGGGTACCAAAATGGATAAAGCTTTAACCTTGATGCGGAAGGGCTTCAATGAACTGCAAGAGATGGGGCCCCGGCAGCAACAAAATTTGGTGTGGAATCCTCCGAAGAGCGACAAAATAAATCCCAGCAAAGCGTCCAAAGCAGTGCAGGAGTACTATGAAAAGCAGGTACGTGGGCATTCTTTGTTCTAAGCAGAGAATCATAACTTCCTTGAGTTGGAAGAGCCCACATCTAAAGAACACACAGTCAAAGCTCTCCCAACAGATGTGTTGGGACTCAGCCTGTGTGTGAACTTGAGCCTGAATCTCTGATTGTATTACCTAATGCTGATGCCAATGTTGATGCAAATGATGTAAATGTTGTTGGGCCTAGTTTGGATAGTGAAGCTGAAGTGATCAATGAGGACGAGGCTCAAGATGGAGACACTTTGGGCAGTAAAAATCCTACAGGATTTGATTTAGAGGCTTCAAGGGAAAAGCCAAGTTCTCATGAGAAAGTTTCTGTCAGACCGAGAGAAGAAAATTCACTCCCTTTTCCTCCTTGCAAGATAACTTGACACCTGGTCGGGTCAATGATAATAGCCTTAGCTTGGAGATAAGCCAGAACCACAGGGAGGCTCAATGTTTAGGTAGGTCTGAGAGAATCCGACAACTGAAACCAGAGATTAGAGTTAACCGGAATCAGTTTTTGGGATTTAAGAGTGCCTGTGAGGGGGATTTCCTCAGACGAAGCATCGTTTAGTATCAAGTACAAACCTCCTGGGTATTCCAGTTTCCAGTGGTCTAGTCTCCAAGGGAATTTCTGGCTTCAAGTGAGATTAGCAGGGCTAATCTGTTCATGGATTTCTGTTGAGAGTTTTCTGGACACTACTGCTTTGGATTTCCTGCAAGCTTTCTGGACAGTGCTGTTTGCTGGTTCATTTTGTCTTTTTTACCTTTGGACTTCAATCTATTTTATATTCATCATTCAATAAAAAGGATTGCATTTTTCCTAAACCAAGGAACCAAGAGGGCCCCGTTTCCTGCTCTGAAGTGCAACAAGGTGGTCCTTTAGCCTCTCCAAGGAAGGAGATTCTATCAGACTCCCAGACAACAGAGTATGCTGCCAAACAGCTCTGACCGTTGAAATGGAGTCTCTTTTTCTGCAATTTGGATCCATGGCTCCATTGTGTCTCTTCACTGTCTCCTTTTCTCATTTCATCCAGGCTGAGGACCGAAGGACCAAACCCACCATGTCGGGCTACGCCACCCAAGTAGAAGAATTGCAGAAGTCCTTCCTGATGCGACCCGGGTGCCCGAGATATAGCCACAGGGCCACTTCCACATCTCACCTGGGTAAATAAGGCTTCTTGGTGAGATGCAATTCCAGGGGAGTTAATTTAGATCCTAATTTTGAAGTCAACCTACGGCCTTGGGTGAAAGAACCGTGACTTCTGGGTTGCTGTGAGTTTTTCGGGCTGTATGGCCATGTTCCAGAAGCATTCTCTCCTGACATTTCTCCCACACCCATTGCAGGCATCCTCAGAGGTTGAGAGGTCTGTTGGAAACTAGGCCAGTGGGATTTATATATCTGTGGAAGGTCCAGGGTGGAGAAAGAACTCTTGTCTAGGTTCTTGTGGGTTTTTTCGGGCTATAGAGCCATGTTCTAGAGGCATTTCTCCTGACGTTTCGCCTGCGTTTCGCCAACTCTTGTCTGTTTGAGGCAATTGTGAATGTTGCAGTTGGTCGCCTTGATTAGCATGGAATGGCCTTGCAGCTTCAAAGCCTGGCTGCTTCCTGCCTGGGGGAATCCTTTGTTGGGGGGTATTAGCTGGCCCTGATTGTTTCATGTTTGGATCTCCCCTGTTTTATTGAGTGTTGGCCTTTATTTACTGTTCTAATTCTAATATTTTTGTGCTTGAAACAAAGTCTATGTATGTCAAACCATCAGAAAGCAAAGCCATCACTATCTCAGCCACTTGGATTTGGGATTATTTCAGATTTTGGAATTCCGGATGAAGGCTGCTCAGCCTATACTCCCATTTTCTAGGTTGTCTTATATCAAGAACTTCCTTTCTTAATTGGCCGTCTGGGCAGGGGCACACAATCAAAGAAATCCCACCACTGCAAGACCAATTATAAGGATCTTAGAAGGTATGGGTGATAAATCAATATCCCACCTCTGCACTACCAAAATTATAAGAACTCAAAAGAGGCTTTTATAGGGTTTGAGGGGATGTCACGTTGTGTAAAACTTTCGCTGCCACCAAACCAAAGAAATCACGAACCCTCTAGTTATTTAAAATATTATCAGGCTGTTTTAAATTAAATAAAAAAACTTGTTACTCCACCATTGGCTGTATATAATCAAGGGCTTTCTCTGAGGGGTAAATAGGAGAGGTTGATTTAAAGAGAAAGGGACTCAAAACCAAAAATAGCACTTGACTCAAGATTTTAAGTTTCAAAACAATCAAGAAAGAGTTTTATTGAATACAAATTCAGAAATAACACGAGAATGCAGGTACTGAGGCTTGATGGTTACAGATAAAAGTGTTCTTGTTTCTTATAAGCGTATTGGTTTCTAGAGAGAATGTTCTTTCTTAGTTACAGTTTCATTAAACGCAGAACCTAGCTATTCTTCTCAACAGTAGCTGTATTCTCAATCTGTCACAGCCTACTGTGCTGTACAGACTAAAGGCAAACTGCCTATTTTAAACAGAGACTCCTCAACACTCCAACTTCTACACTAATCTCTCTCTCAGAACTCAGACTGCTCTCTACTCTTCTCAGAAACTCAGCTGCACTACCCTAAAACTGTCAAATCTCACTGTTCTCTTTCCCTCCTTCTGCCTAACTCCGCCCCTATTCTCTAAACCAATC